GTTTAAATGTAAGCGTTTTGGAAATATCTTGGATGCATTTTTGGGACCTCTTGAGGGGCGTCTTGGAGGCATCGTGGAGGCCTCTCAGGGGCGAAAACACTTTTGGGGCCTCTAGGGGGCTTCCCGGGGGCCTCCTGGGTGCCTTTTGGGAGCCTCTTGGAGCCATTTAGGGCCTCTTTGGGGCCTCTTGGGGGCATCTTGGGGCCTCCTGGGGGCCTCCTGGGTGCCTCTTGGGGCCAAGGCTAGAAATTTGAACTTGGTTTTCCTCCTCTGGGACCCCTTGGGCCTGTCCTGGGTCTCTCTTGGGCCATCTTGGGGGCCTCCTGGGCCGTCTTGAGCCTTTCTTGGGCCATCCTGGAGTTCTCTTGGGAGCCTCCTGGGCCGTCTTGGGAGCCTCGTGGGCCGTCTTGGCCGATGCGAAAGCCCAAGAGGCAGATTTGCTAAACGGATTCGTTTTCCCAGGGAGTCGGACGGTTTTTGCTTCTTGGGGTCCTCTTGGGGGGCCTGGCCACTTGGGGGCCTCTTGGGGCGTCTTGGGGCGCCTTGGGGCGCCGTGGGTGTCATCTGGGGCCGTTCTGGAGCTCTCTGTGGTGTGGCGCATTTGGAGGCCTCGAGAGCCAGTCGGAGAATACCTCCGTCTTGGAAGAGTATCTGGCTTTCTGGGACCTCCGGGGCTCGCCCGGGGAGGTCCAAGGGAGGAGGGGCACCGAAATGCAAGGGAGGGGCCGGCCGGGGGGGGCCCAGGCCGGGGATCTCCGCTGATGTGTGTGCGTGTGTATGTATGCATGCCTCTCTCGCGCTCTCTCTCTCTCTCTCTCTTTCTCTCTTTCTACTGTTTGATGATTTCCCAACCACCCTGTGGTGTTGGGTTCTCGTTTTGAAGAGACAGCGCCCCGCGACTCCTCTCCTCCTCCTCTTCCCCCTCCTCCCTCCTCCCATCCCTGCCTCTCCTCTCCGCGTGCCGTCCTCACCATCATTATCGTGATCTTCACTGCGATCACCATCGCCATCATCGGCGTCATTAACATCGCCATCGTCAGCGTCGTGACCTTGTTCTCCGCATGTCCATTTCGGCACACCCACCACACGGTTCGTGGCCCACAGGGGGCTCCACCAACGGCCCCAGCGGCAGGGTCCGCATGCGTCCCCCCGCCCAATTCAGCACACCCCTCACGCGGTTCGTGGCCCCATGGGGAGCTCCACCGAAGGCCCCAGAGGCAGTCTCCGCATTCGTCCCCCCACTGAGCGAGGAGCGTGACCCCATAGGGAGCTCCACCGAAGGCCCCAGCGGCAGGGTCCCCATGCGTCCCCCCGCCCATTTCGGCACACCCCTCCTGCGGATCGTGGCACCATAGGGAGCTCCACCGAAGGCCCCAGCGGCAGGGTCCCCATGCGTCCCCCCGCCCATTTCGGCACACCCCTCACGAGGATCGCGGCCCCATAGGGAGCTCCACCGAAGGCCCCAGCGGCAGGGTCCGCGTGCGTCCCCCCACTCATTTCGGCACACCCCTCACGAGGATCGTGGCCCCATAGGGAGCTCCACCGAAGGCTCCAGTGGCACGGTCCGCGTACGTCCCAACGCCCATTTCGGCACACCCACCACCACACGGTTCGTGGCTCCATAGGGAGCTCCACCGAAGGCCCCAGCGGCAGGGTCCCCATGCGTCCCCCCGCCCATTTCGGCACACCCATCACAGGGTTCGCGGCCCCACAGGGAGCTCCACCGAAGGCCCCAGTGGCAGGGTTCGCATGCGTCCCCCCGCCCATTTTGGCACACCCCTCACGAGGATCGTGGCCCCATAGGGAGCTCAACCGAAGGCCCCAGCGGCAGGGTCCGTATGCGTCCCCCCGCCCATTTCGGCACACCCCTCACGAGGATCGTGGCCCCATAGGGAGCTCCACCGAAGGCCCCAGCGGCAGGGTCCCCATGCGTCCCCCCCGCTAATTTTGGCACACCCCTCACGAGGATCGTGGCCGTATAGGGAGCTCCACCGAAAGCTCCAGCGGCAGGGTCCGTATGCGTCCCCTCGCCCAATTCAGCACACCCCTCATACGGATCGTGGCACCATAGGGAGCTCCACCGAAGGCCCAGGGGGAAGGTCCGCTTGCGTCACCCCGCCCATTTCGGCACACCCATCACAGGGTTCGTGGCCCTTAGGGAGCTCCACCGAATGCCCCAGTGGCAGGGTCCGCATACGTCCCCCCGCCCATTTCGGCACACCCATCACAGGGTTCGCGGCCCCACAGGGAGCTCCACCGAAGGCCCCAGTGGCAGGGTCCGCATGCGTCCCCCCGCCCATTCCGGCACAACCCACGCAGGGTATTGGGAGGCTCGACGTGCAAGGTGCAACTGCAGCCGCCCAGGCGAGTCCCTTCAATAGGGGCAGCTGCGCGAAGCATCAGGAAAGTATCGGCTCCGCCTGCAAAGCGCCATAGCCTATGGGGCCCGCAGATCATGTCACTAATCCGAACGGGTGATCCTAATACCTGTAACTGTCTTCATTCTGGGTTCCCTCAGGCTTCATTATGGGGGAAGTATCCGGCGGGAGCCTTGTCTGTGAGTGAATTGCGAGGAAGTCCCTGTAACTCGCTTTACTTTCGGGCCGCTGAGGTCTGAATTTTGGGGAACTATGAAGCGGGAGCCTCTCCTGTGAGTGAATTGCGGGTCGCCTCGTCCGAGCTGGTCGCCGGAATACTTGTTACTGTCATGGGCCCGCATGCCCGAAAGGGCGACTCAGGAACTGACGACGACGACGATGAGACAGCGGCCAGGCGCAGGGGTAACCTCTTGTGTCTGGGCCAGGGGTGGTGGCCCATCCTCGACCGAATCGGGGGCAGGGGTAGCCCCTTATCTCCAGGCCGCCGGTGGTAACCCATCGGCGGCCGAATTGAGCGCAGGGATAGCCCCTTGCGTCTGGGCTGAGGGTGGTAACCCATCCTCGGCTGAATCGGCTGAATCGGTTGAATCGGGGGCAAGGGTAAGGAAGCCCAAAAAAAGCTGGAAACCCAGAGAGAATGCCCACGCAACGGAAACAGGGAGAGAGGGACGAGAGACAGAGAGAGAGAGAGAGAGATGAGACGGAAAGAAAATGGAGACTAAATGGTGGCGCAGGGGGCTCGCCTTGTTTCAGGCCTGGCAGGCTTGCGCGCGACAGGGGCAGAGAGAGAGAGAGGGAGAGAAGGATGAAGGCGGGAAAAAAAGAGACAAAGTGGCGGCGCAGGGGGCTCGCATGCTTTCAGGCCAAGCAGGCAAACGCGCGACGAAAACAGACAGAGAGAGAGAGAGAGGATAATGATCTGAAGAAAATGGAAACAAAACCGCCGCGCGCGGGGCTTGGGTCACCGCGGGCTAGGCAATCAGAACGGCAGCACGCTGCGGAAACAGGGAAAGAGGAGAATGAGAAGGGAAGAAAATGGAGACAAAACGGCGCACGGGGCTCAGGCCAAAGCAAGAAACCGAGAATGCCCACGCAACGGAAACAGCGAGAGAGGAGAAAGAGTGGAAAGACAATGGATACAAAACGGCCGCGCACGGGGCTCAGGCTAAAACAAGAAAACAAGAATGCAACGCGCAACGGAAACAGGGAGAGAGAGGAGAATAAGCTGGGAAGAACATGGAGACAAAACGGCCGCGCAAAGGGCTCAGGCCAAACCAAGAAAACGAACGTGCAATACGCAACGGAAGCACAGAGAGAGGAGAATACGCTGGGAAGAAAATGAATGCAAAACGGCCACGCACGGGGCTTGCGCTACCGCGGGCCCCCCTCCTCTCCTTGGCGGTACTCGCGGCTGCATATGGTTGGACCCTTGGTCAGGCTAATTGTTTTTTTGGTTGTTGTTCTCTCTGTCTCTCCCTCTCTCTCTCCTTCTCTCTCTCTCTATCTATACATGTGTGTATCGATCGTGATCTCAGTCACTCGACCATTGCATACACATGTCTTGGAAATGCATAGCTGTACGTTCATCCATAAACTCATCGAGGCGGCGACAACATTCACGCAGGAGTCAGATCGACTACCCAGTGAAGTAGAGTTACGCATGCGGAAATCGCACTCCCTTGCTGCGCATTCCTGGGCTGCCGATGAGGTGGTTCCCGCTCCATCAAAAGGCAGTGCCCCTCACTCGAAGCTCGCCTCTGCAACCGACAGCTCGGAGGGACCCGCCAGATTGAGTGGTGTCCGCCACCGCATAGCGGTCTGTGTGTGAGCGTGCGTGGCCCTCGCTATATACTGGCTTCGCATTTTCCGAGCAAGCCGTGGAACACCCTGAGGTGCATCGGGGACAACCCGCGTTACACATACAAACCGATTCCCAGTGGTCTTGCTGCAACAACTTGTCCACGCCTTTGCTGCCTCCCACGGAAAAAATGAGCCACCGTGCAGGTCGGCACGGAGTGGGCTGCAGAGGCTCGTGGAGGGGCCAGGCCCACGAGTCCTGGTGAGTTCTGGGCGCGCCTTGGCCCTCTAGCGCGCACCGAGGATCGCCGCATGATCTTTCCAGAGGCCTCGGAACAGGCACAGAACATGTACACAGTGTTGAATGGTCTTCGCATGTTGATCGGGCTTCAGAGCGTCCCGAACGGCTCAATCAGTAGCCTCCCAGGATCGCCCCAAGACGGCCCCCGAGCCCCCAAGAGTGGCCCAAGATGCCCCCAAGACGGCCCCAAGATGGCCCCTAGAGGGGCCCAAGTGAAGAAGCACGAAGGGGCCTTCGGGGCGGGGAGGAGGAGGAGGAGGAGGAGGAGGAGGAGGAGGAGGAGGAGGAGGAGGAGGAGGAGGAGTGGGAGGAGGAGGAGGAGGAGGAGGAGGAGGCGGAGAGAGGAGGAGGAGGAGGAGGAGGAGAGAGGATGCACACTGGACGATGGACGGTGGATGAGGAGGAAGAGGAGGAGAGGAGGAGGAGGAGGAGGAGGAGGAGGAGCAGGAACTGCAGACGGAGGACGACGAGGGGGCTTCCAGCTCAAGACGACCCCCTAGGAACGCGGGCCCACAACACATACACGAAACGACACCCCCCAGAATCCCCCTCCACCAGGCGCCCACTCGAGCGCGGTGGCGGATTCGCGCGGCAGCGGATCTTGATAAAGCCATCTGCGCGCACACTCCCGCTGAGGGCCACACCGTGACGACAATCCTTCGGGGGAGTGCTTACTGCGGTGTGGTCGTCATCCCCGAGTAGACCACCGATAGCATACCCTGCCCGCCCTAAGTGCTTCACGTAGAAATTCAAATATTGCAACCCACTTCGTGTACGTCCTTGAACGACTTTGATATCGACTTGGCCAAACGTAACCCAATTCGGTGTCTCGACGGGTGTGCCCGATACGACGTAGCGATACCCTCCAGTACGTGCTTCATCTGCCCAACGTCCTGTAATATTTACTGCTTGGAAATACAAATCCTTGCATCCACCCAATCGTTTAACCACAGCCTGCACATCCAGAAGCGCATTGTGAAACTCTCCTTTGGGGATATGTATCAGGATATGCTCTCCCGGCGTCATCAAGTCGAACCGCTGGCCATGAACGTTTCTCAGGTGGGGATCGCCGGTGGCAGAAACGCCGCCTGCAACTGGTGCTGTCGGAGCAGGAGTAGGAGTAGGAGTTGGTGCCAGAGTTGGCGCGGGGGTAATCAACAAGGTGACGCTGGAGTAGATCGGGTACTGGTGCGATAACCCGCTGGCCAGCACGAGAACGCCACCGCTCGCCGACGCTGACGCGACACGCGACGCCCGGATGCTTTGGATAATCCCCGTCTCGGTGTTGCCGCCGCCCTCGATCACGACGGTGTCACCGACTGTGAAGCCGTCTATGGATGTCACAGACACTTCAGTAGCGCCTGCCACCACCACGGACAATGTTTCGGTCGATATCGGCGCAGTCGGTGCTGGCGTGGGCGTCGGAGCTGGCGGAGTCGAGGCAGACGTTGGAGATGGCGTAGGAGTGGCAGTCGGAGCGGGCGTTGGAGATGGCGTTGGCGTGGGCGTCGGTGCTGCCGTGTAGTCGTTGAAGAGCGTACTTGCGCTTATCCGCCACCCGTGCCTTCTGCACGCTGGGGCGTGTTGGAAGGCTCTGCTGTCTGGTGAGGTTGCCTTGGCGTTTTCTAAGGAACCATTCCCGCCGCGGGTGTCTCCAACGTGCTGTCTGCCAGGATACAAAGCAGCATAGAGTTGGGCAGAATGCCCAAGGAGGGCTGGCGTGGACCCCCCCCGCCTCCGCAGCCCAGTTTGGCTCTGACCACGACCAGGAGCAACCGCGCTCCAGCACGTCCTTCGCTGGTGGCCTCGCAGCTCTCCCGCACGCGCGCGCAGGCAACCGCCGCCCCCCCCTCTCTGGAGCATGTTTTGTCCGCGGCGCAGCGCGGGCGCGGCAGCAGAGGGCCCTTTAGAACGCGACCCTGGGCAGGAACAAGGAAAGGCGACACCAACACCACCAGGGCGAGGAGATGCGCGGAGGCAAGGGGGGTCTCCCTGGTGGTGTGGTCCCCCCCTCTCGCTCGAGACATCCCCAGCCTCCCGCTCGGGAAGGCCTCGTGGACCTCCTCGCTGGAGGTAGGCCCCCTGGTGGTGTTGGTGTCGCATCTCCTCCCTCCGACCTGGGGCGTAAAACACCTCCAAACCCTCGGCGACGGCGACAGCCGAGCGTTTCATGCACACCATGGTGCCAGTCATCCAGGCAACAACTCTGCTCAAATGCGCTGCCGGCAACCGTGCTCGACGCCATGTGTCGGAGAAGGCGAAGGAGACAAGCAACACACTCCCAGAGGGAAAAAATCTCGAGATTGTACCTCCCGCGCGCGCCCGTAAGCGCCCCAAGAAATCACTGTTTGGAGAAGCTCTGGCCGAGGAGAGGTTCTGGCCGAGGGGAGCATAACATTTCCAAGACAGCAAACAACAACCCGATCTGCCGAAATAAATACCCAAGACAACCAAAACTGCCAGAAACCGTTCCAAGATAGCCATGCTGGCCCCAAGACTATTAAAACGCCTCCAAGGCGGTCCCAAGACTGCCCAAGGAGACCAGCAGACGTTCCAAGAGTGCCCCAAGATGGCCCAAGATGACCTCAAGACGGCCCAAGAGCCCAAGAGGCCTCCAAGACGGCCCAAGAGTGCCCTCGAGAACAAAACACTGTGCTTTTCCTCACGGCGCTTTGACAGAGTTTAACCTGCTGGCCTTGTCTGGCTCCCGAAACCTCAAGATGACCCAAAAGGTCCTCAAGAGGGCTCCGAGGCAGCCCGACAAGGTTCCAAAAGGGCCCCAAGACCGCCCACGGGGGCTCCACAACGACCCAAGAGGCCCTCAAGAAGGCTCGAGGGGGCCCCTAAGACGGCCCAAGGTGCCCCCAAGACGGCCCAAGGGGTCCCCAAGAGGGGCAAATCGAGCTGGCCTCGACAGCCTTTTCCCACGGACCTGCCTCCAGGACCCCCCAAAGCGTGCCCCGAGGAGGCCCCCAAGACGCCCCCGAGAGGCCAAAGCCTCCCCAACGACCGGAGAGCCTCCTCCTCCTCCTCCTCCTCCTCCTCCTCCTCCTCTTCCTCCTCCTCTTCCTCCTCCTCTTCCTCATCCTCCTCCTCCTCCTCCTCTTTCTCCTTCTCCTCCTTCTCTTCCTTCTCCTCCTCCTCCTCCTCCTCCTCCTCCTCCTCCTCCTCCTCCTCTAACCTGCGTGCTCAACTAAACCTCCTCCACGCTGCGCTGCCTGCGCTGGCGCGGCAACGGCGTCTGCCGCAGGCGGTCGGATGATGTACTCGGTGGTGTTGAAGTTGGCGAGATTCGGGAAAACGGAGCTCAACTTTCGCCCGACCAGGCGCGACGACGAGAGGCGCGACGACGGCCGCGCGCTGACCCACTGCGCCACCGGGACCATCACATTCTCCCACGGGTACTTTGGGACCAGCCTCCCTCGTCCGTCCACGTCCTCGGCCATCAGAGTCTCGGGGAAGTCGTTGTAGATCTTGCCACCGTTGACCGTGGGGGGAGGAGGAGGAGGAGGGGGAGGAGGAGGAGGAGGAGGAGGAGGAGGAGGAGGAGGAGGAGGAGGAGGAAGAGGAGGAGGGTCGAGGAGGGGAAGTCGTTGTAGATCTTACCACCGTGGACCGTGCCACCCAGCACGAACCCGTGCCCCGCCCAGCCGTGGTCGGTGCCCCTACCGTTTGAGGTCAGCGTGCGCCCGAAGTCGGAGCTCGTCACCTCGGAGGCGCGCGCAAAAGCGTGGCGCGAGGGTTCGGGGGGGGGGCGTCTGAGAGCCCAAAGGGGTTCCTCCTCCCCCTCTTCCTCCTCCTCCTCCTCCTCCTCCTCCTCTCCTCCTCCTCTCCTCCTCCCTCCTCCTCCTCCCCTCCTCCTCCTCCTCCTCCTCCTCCTCCTCCTCCCTCCTCCTCTCCTCCTCCTCCTCCTCCTCCTCCTCCTCCTCCTCCTCGTCCTCCTCCTCCTCCTCCTCCTCCTCCTCCTTCTCCTCCTCCCCCTCCTCCTTCTGCCTCCTGCCGCAGCCGCGCGGAAGCCGCAGAAGGCGCTCTCCGACGCGCTGGACGAGGCGAGCCTGCGCGACCGACTGGCGCGCGCCAGCCCTGCAGTCCGGGCCGCCGTGCTTTCGGAGACCCTGCCCGGCTCCTCCGGCTTCTTGACGGCCATGCCCAGCAAGGCCATGAAGCTTAGCATGGAACCCGCCGAATTCCGCACGGAGCTGCAATGCCGCCTGGCTGCGGAGATCTTCCAGGAGGAAGACTTCTGCCCGCTGTGCGATAGCGTTTTGGACGCGCACGGGTTCCACGCCTCGGTGTGCACCTGTGGCGGGGACAAGACCGCCGCCCACCACGCGGCCCGGGACCAGACCTACTTCTACGCTGCAGCCGCGGGCTGCCGGCCAGACCTGGAGCGCGGCAACCTCCTCCCACCCCGCCCGGACGAGGCCGCCGACCAGGGGTTGCGCCGGCCAGCGGACGTGTTCTTGCCTGCTTGGCGCGGCGGGTCCGCAGCAGCAGTGGACTTGGCGATCACGTCGCCCCAGCGGCAGGCCGCCCTGCAGCTGGCGAGCGAAGTCGCCGGGTCGGCCGCGCAGCTCTACGAGGACTACAAGCGGTCCTTCCTGAACACGGAAGCCCTCTGCGCCCAGCAAGGGGTCGCCTTCGTGCCGATGGTCGCCGAGCGCTCCGGTGGTTGGGGCGCCTCAGGTTTCCAGGTGCTCAAGCAGCTCGCACGCAAAGCTGAGGCCAGAGATGGCAAGGCGGCGAGCCTGCACGTGCAGGAGTACTTGGAAGGCCTCTGCGTCGCCATCCGGCGGGCCAACGCCCGGGCGGTTCTGAAGCGCGCCCCGGGCGCCGCCGCGGCCGCGCCCGGCGCCGCCGATGCGGCCAGGGCCATACTTCAGCCGTAGCTGAGCAAGACATCGGTTCCCTTTGCCCTGCTTTCGTTTCCTCCTCCTCCTCTTCCTCCTCCTCTTAAGTTTTAATTGCATTTGCGGTGCATCCCCGGCGCCCTCCGGAGGAGGGGACCGGCTCGGGTGTCCAGCGCGAGGTGGCTCCACTGTCGCCACCGCCCGCTGCGCTTCCGGGGGCCCCCCCCGCCGCCCGCCCGCTGGCCTTGTGGGCCCCGCCTCCCTTGCCCTGCCTTGCCTCGTCTTGGGCTCTCGGCTCCTCTCCTCTTCCCCCTCCCTCTCCGTGCCTTCCCCTTCCCCTTGTGCCTCCTTGCCCTTGTGTGGTGTGCTCTCCCCTCCCCCTCTCTCTCTCCCCGTCTGGCTTCCCCTCCCTGTCTCCCCGTCCCTCCGTCCCTCCGTCTGTCGGCCCGGTCTGTCCCTTCCCGTCGCCCTCCCTCCCTCTCCCTCCCCTGCTCGCTCCTCGGCTCCTCGCTCCCCGGCCCGTTTCTGTTCCTTGCCTGGCCCGCTTTTCTTTGTCGTCCCGTCCCGTGGTCCGAATAAGAGTTGCCGCGGCCCGCACTGCCGCGCAGGCGAATAGCCGGCGCAGGTTGTTCCTCCTGAGTCGTTAAGTTGGCGACCCGCTTTGTGCGCCACGCACTGCGTGCACAACGATCTGCCTCCTGCCTCCTGCCTCCTCCCTCCTCCCTCCTCCCTCCTCCCTCCTCCCTCCTCCTTCCTCATTCCTCCCTCCTCCCTCCTCCCTCCTCCCTCCTCCCTCCAACCTCCTCCCTACAGAAAAGCCAGCCCAGACATGCGACGTCCTGATTTTTGTCGCTACGGGGTCGCTGGAAGCCCCGACCCTGTCCCCGGGGCCGATTTTTCATCCTGAATCGTTTTTTGACAGCCCCGAGGCCCAGCGAGGGCCCTCCGAGGCCGAAAACGGGCAAAAACCTCCCGTCCTGACTTTTTAACGACGCGATCATGTCTGGGAAAGGGGTTCTTACAGAAGGCGCCCCCTCGCGCCACCCCTCCGTGCGCGCCGGCAGTCACCACCACGATGTTCTCGTAGATGCCCTGCCCCTTCATCTCGGCCACGAAGCCCTGCAGCGCAGCGTTGAGTTCCGTGTACCGCCCCTGGAGTTCCTCGTACTCCTCGGGGGCGCCCAGAAGGCGGGCGTCCAAGAGGGGGGGCCGCAAATCCGCCGATCCGGCGCGTTAGCTTTCAAGACAGGGGCTCGAGCTTCGCTTGAGCCCCGCTCTGCACGAGAGGCGGCCTTGGCCCCGTCGCCGGTCCCCGGCCCCCGCCCCGGCCCCGGCTGCGCAAAAAATTGCAGGATCGCAAAACAAAAATTACTCCGACGGAAGGACCCTACATGAGAATATGTTTAGCTTGCCCTTACCCTTTTCCTCCTCGCCCTGACGGACACTCTCCGCCAGCCCCGAGACAAGGGGTTACCCCTGCCCCCGATTCGGCCAACGATGGGTTACCACCGCCAGCCCGGAGAGAAGGGGTTACCCCTGCCCCCGATTCGGCCGAGGAAGGGTTACCACCCCCGGCCCGGACGCAAAGGGTTTCCCCGTGCCCGATTCGGCCGACGATGGGTTACCACCGCCAGCCCGGAGACAAGGGTTACCCCTGCCCCTGATTCGGCCGAGGATGGGTTACCACCCCCAGCCCGGACGCAAGGGGTTACCGGCCCGGAGACAAGGGGTTACTCCTGCCCCCGATTCGGCCGAGGATGGGTTACCACCCCCGGCCCGGACGCAAAGGGTTTCCCCCGTGTGCCCGATTCGGCCGACGATGGGTTACCACCGCCAGCCCGGAGACAAGGGTTACTCTTGCCCCTGATTCGGCCGAGGATGGGTTACCAACCCCAGCCTGGACGCAAGGGGTTACCCCTGCCCCCGATTCGGCCGCCGACGGGTTACCACCGGCGGCCCGGAGACAAGGGGTTACCCCTGCCCCCGATTCGGCCGAGGATGGGTTACCACCCCCGGCCCGGACACAAGGGGCTACCCCTGCGCCCAGCCGCTGTCTCGTCGTCGTCGTCGTCAGCTCCTCAGTCGCCCTTTCGGGCACACAGGCCCATGACAACAACAATTTTGCCGACGACCAGCTCAGACGAAAGAGGAGCCCTTCCCCCGTATTCACGCCGCAGGAGCTGAGGAGCCCAAAAAGTTACGAGTCATAGAAATCCGATGACCCGCTCGGATTACCAACATGAAGTGCGGGACCCGTCATGGCGGAGAGTCGCCGCGCAGGCCACTGGACGCTTAAGTTTGGTCCCAAAAGTGACGACAGTTACAGGTTTCGTATGACCCGCTCGGATTACCAACATGAAGTGCGGGACCCATAAGGAGGGGGCTCCCGCCTGAGACTTCCTCACAATTCACTCGCAGACGAGGATCCCGCTTAATACTTCTCCAAATTCAGGCCTGAGAAGCCCAAAAGTGACGACACTTACACGTTTCGGATGACCCGATCGGAATACCAACATGAAGTGCGGGACCCATAGGAAGGGGGCTCCCGCCTGAGACTTCCTCACAATTCACTCACAAACGAGGCTCCCGCTTGATACGTCCCGAAAATGCAAGCCTGAGGAGCCCAAAAGTAACGATACTTACACGTTTCGGATGACCCACTCGGATTACCAACATGAAGTGCTGGACCCATAGAGAGGGGGCTCCCACCTGAGACTCCTTCGCAATTCACTCACAGACATGGCTCCCGCCTAAGACTTCTCCCATACTCAAGCCTGAAGAACCCAGAAGTGACGACAGTTACAGGAATCCGATGACCCGCTCGGATTACCAACATGATCCGCGGGCCCCATAAGGGGGGAGCTCCTGCCTGAGACTTCCTCGCAATTCACTCACAGACGAAGATCCCGCTTGATACTTCCCCCAAATTCAAGCCTGAGGAGCTCAAAACTGACGACACTTACACGTTTCGGATGACCCGCTCGGATTACCAACATGAAGTGCGGGACACATAAGGAGGGGGCTCCCGCCTGAGACTCCCTCGCAATGTACTCACAGACGAAACTCCCGCTTGAGACTTCATCCATATTCAAGCTAGGGGGTGAGTGACGACGTGATGAGTGAGTGACTGGTGATGATGAGTGAGTGAGTGAGTGAGTGAGTGAGTGAGTGAGTGAGTGAGTGTGTGAGTGAGTGAACGAGTGAATGAGTGAGTGAGGTTGGCGAGTGAGTGAGTGAGTGAATGAGTGAGTGATGATGATGAGTGAGTGAGTGAGTGAGTGAGTGAGTGAGTGAGTGAGTGAGTGAGTGAGTGAGTGAGTGAGTGAGTGAGTGAGTGAGTGATCGAGTGATGATGATGGTGACGATGATGAGGATGAGGATGATGAGTGGTGATGCTGATTCATGGTGATGATGATGATGATGATGATGATGATGATGATGATGATGATGATGATGGTGATGGTGATGGTGATGGTGATGGTGATGGTGATGGTGATGGTTGTGAGAGTGTGTGAGTGTGTGAGTGAGGAAAGGGGGGGTGAGACCCTGCGCGGCGTGCGCAGAAAAAAAACAAGAACCCCACTTTGGATGTGGGGAAATCACGACCAGAACCCAGGACCCCATCTTTCTGCTTCTTTCTTCGAGGCGGAGCAATCTGCGGGGGTACCGGGGCCCGAAGTTGAGCGAAATCGCCGGTTGTGGAAAAACTGCTACGCCAGGATCTCAGGGAGTTTCGTCGTCAGTCGTCCTCGTCGTCGTTGTCGCCTGTCCTCGTCAACCAATGGTCGTCGTCGGTATTCCGACGACATCCGTCGTTCGTCGTTGTTTTCGTCGCCAAATTCGTCGACAGTGTCGGGAACGCCCCGGCGGCGCTGGCTGGAGGTCATTACACCCCCCTCTTGGCCCCCCTCTTGGCCGCCCCCGAACTCCGTGTTGTGCGTGTCGTAGCAGCACATGCTCACGAAGAACAGGTCTCGTTCCGCCGAGCGGACTGTCCTCGACGCGTCTTTCTGTGCTGCTGCTCGGCGAGCGCATCTTTGAGAGAGAAGGCGGAGGCGAAAGGGGAAGGCGCGACGATCCTCCTGCCGATCATGTCGTCACTTTGCCCACCGCAGGCTTCAGGAATGGAACACGCAACGATACGAATTAACCCCGAAGAACGCATCAGCGCCAGAGGCACACGTCCCGAGCCAGCGAGGGCGGGCCTGCGGCGGATCAGCTCTGGGCGAGCCGAGCCGACGCTGCTGCTAGGACCTGCCCTCTCAGCAGACCTCCCTGGTGGCAGAAGGAGGGGCACATGCTGCACATGATACCGTGGTGGGGGGAGAGAAGAGGAAGAGGAGGAGAAGGAGGAAGAAAAGGAGAAAACGGAGCAGGAGGAGGACGAGGAGGAGAGGAGGAGGAGGAGGAGGAGGAGGAGGAGGAGGAGGGAGGAGGAGGAGGAGGAAGAGGAGGAAGACGATGAGGAGGGAGGAGAGAAGGAAGAGGAGGAGGAGGAGGAGGAGGTGGACGAGGAGCGGGTGGGGAGGAGGAGAAGGGGCCCGGGCAGAAAGACGTCCGCGGCACGCGCAAGCGACGCGTCGCGCCCCCTCCTCCTCCTCCTCCTCCTCCTCCTCTTCCTCCTCCTCCTCCCCCTCCTCCTCCTCTGTTCCTCCTCTTCCTCCTCCTCCTCCTCCTTTTCCTCCTCGTTCTCCTCCTCCTCGTTTTCCTCCTCGTCCTCCTCGTCCTCCTTCTCCTCCTCGTCCTCCTCCTCCAGGGTGGCCATACTTGTACGTACTGATATTCTGATTTCGGCTCCAGGTCTTACCGAGGACGGCTGTTCTCTGCTCACTTCCATTGGGAGGTTCCTGGAGGCTTTACGGCAGGCAATGTCTACCTAGATGAAGTAGGCCTCTACTGCCTCTGCCATTCCGTTTTTTCTACAACGCCTAGGTTGTCGGCAGGCGACGCCAGGTACCGTGCTTGACTACTTCGTGGTATCGACGAATTTGACATCCAGAGTTGAAACGCATGTGCATGTTGACGAGGGCTCTACCTTGCCGCCACATTGTCCAGTTCATTTGCGGATGGTGGCACAGGATGTACCTATCTGGAGGCAGGTGCCTGATCTGCCTAAAGAGCTGCCGCTTGTGGCGCCACCAGGTCGTTCTCGGTACCCGTTATTAATGGGAGGCTCCGTTATTTTCATCTGTATCCGACACACAGGGACTTCCTGCTTGATGGGCTCTCTCATGTGCGGGGTGGAGCGTTAGCTGACCAACAGGTACGACCAAGTCGGGGCCAGCGCCCTTCGCTATGCTGGGCGTGCTGGGCCTCCTCGCTTCACTCGGAGGCAGCTCATATGGCAGGCCCAATGATGCGCACAGACAAGCGACCACAGACTCTGGCTTGGAAGACGGCGCTCTGATAGACGATGCATCTGCAGAAGGAGCGTCGCAGGCTCCGCACGCTGGTGTCTCGGATGCAGATGTCCAATGTGATGTGTACGATCGAGCCGCAGCAGGGCACCGTGCTGCCCCAGGCCCTTTACGAGGTCGGTGGTCTCCTCACCACTGTCATGCGCAGCCACGTGGTGCTGAGCTACCTCCCCATGCAGCTGCAGTCCTTCTTCGCGTCTGGGCTGGAGGCGCTGGCGGCGCCAACGTTTCAATCCCTTTTCGACCAGGCCAGGCGCGAGGCCACCAAGTTGCGCAAGAGCGACCAGAAGGTAGCCGACCATGCCTGGGTGAAGTTTCAGCGAATGGCTTTTCAAGACGGCGCCTTGGTTGCTCGTCGAGCATCCAAGGTTCAGGCCCTGGACCAGGTGACCGCCTCCACTCGGGACCCGCGGGGCACGCAGCCGACCGCCTTGGCTAACAATGATATGGCGAGATGGCATTCCGCACGGGCGCGGCATGGACGCCTGCCAGTGGACCCCCCGGACGAGGCCGCGCATCGGCCTCTTCGGCCAGCTGTGGGCGCGCCCGCCGCACGGCGAGCGCTGTTGACCCTTCCCAAGCGCACGTCGACGGGGCCCCGCGCTCTGCATCCGCGAAGGTCGCGGCACTTATCGGGCGAGACGCTGGGCATGCTTAGCCAGTTCTTCACTACATGCGAGAGGGGGCTTCTCGACTGGCCTGCAGATAGGCCATGGCCCACGATGCGCCGCGCCCCGGGAGCCGACGGAGGACACAGGCAGATCGCGGCGGCCCACGCTTCCCAGCGAGTATGGGGGCGACTTCGGCGCGGCATTTCCCGGCAGTGGGAGCGAGACCACCGTTGTGAGTATGTTCGGGGTGATCGTTCTCGATCTACTTCTTCTGACAGCGCGTTGACGCACAGCTTGGCATCAGAGACGGCTGTGTTGAGAGGTTCCGTTGGTGCAGCGGTCTTGCTGGACCTCACCAGAGCGCTCGACCTTGTCCGACCGTCGCAACTCTTCAGGGAGGGCCTCGCTGTCGGCTACCCACCCAAGATGATGTTCATGCTGCTGCGGGTGCATCGCCTACCGCGTCGACTCAAGGGGTGTGGCACTTTTCCCAGAGCCGCTGCAGGTTGGCCAGGGGATATTGGCTGGCTGCGCGCACGCGGTCTGCGCCCCTGAGGTGGTCACTTTACGAGCGCTGGTTCGGGCCTGGGAAGTCCATGGTAATATCGTACCTCGCGCGCTCGTTGACGATGCATCGGTGCAGCGCGCTGGCCCTGATCGAGATGGCGCTACAGCCTTACAGCTTGTGGTGGGGCTGTTCCAGGGAGACCCGCCCTTTTTGGGCCCCTGCTTTTAATGGCAAGAAGTCAGGCATCGCCGTAGGCACGCATTCCACCGAGCGGCTGGTCAGAGGCTCCAAGTTTCAGCTGAAAGGCTGGATGCGCAATCTAGGCCGCGAGACCATGGGAATGCGACCCCTTCGCTTGCAAGTAGAGTCTCGATTGCGAGATCTCCAACGACGACGGCATCGGCTACAGATTCTCCAGAAAGCTGCAGGACGGAAGGCATCAGTTCCATGGAGAGCGGGTGCTCGGCCTGCCGTTGCTCATGGCGCTGGTGATCTGGGATGGGTGACAGCGCTTCGGCCGCGGCGCGCGCAGTTGCTGCGACGGCGGTTGGAGCGCCCCCTCGGGCACACAAGACGGCCTACTTACACTTTAAATGGCAGATTCGTCATGGCTCAATGCTTGATGCAACGACTTCTCTGTTGTGCAAATGTCACTGCGTTGTATGGGGCGCTCGGGTATATCTGAGTGGGCTGCGGTGCGCTTGGGAGGCCTTGGTTGACCGTATCAACCACGTTGGCCTTGCCGGGGCTGGAGCGCGAGGGCCCCATCGGCGCTGCTTTTCTCACGCCGAAGAGAATGTGCTACGAGTTCGTCTCTCCGCGCCATTGGCGCAACGATCTTGGAGAGACCCGCGATCTTCTACGAGTGGCACCAGCTGATATGACGGTTTCTCTGGAGGAAGCGGCCAAACGCCGACAGGTGCAGAAGCTGACGCGCCACTGGCCCCTTCCAGGAGGCCGCTCATGATGTCTGGGAGCGAGCTCTTCGTCTGGACTTCGAGATCTGAAGGCGGCGCCGACGGGCGCACTTCGCGGGCCGCGGGCTGATCGATACCCGTTGACTATCAAGCACTGCCCGATACGAGGTCGCCAGGGTACGTCCGCGATCGCCTTGATGCCGCTGGTGTGTCTCTCCGCGCTGTAGCTGGCCAGCGCGAAATCGATCAGCGAAGGATTGCTGCCCTTTTTGAAGCACGCGTCGGCACCGCCCGGCAAGGTCACCACCTAGCTGCCGAGCTGCTCGGGCCACCCGGCGCCCCAGATCTGCCGCGGCGCGTGGTCCCAGTCGCCCGCGATGGCCCACGGATGGTTGATGCTGCAGAGGAAGCTCGTGAGCGCGGCCAGCTTCCTCCCGTTGATACCGCGCAAGGGCGCGCAGTTCCCGTCAATGTAGATGCTGATGATGGTCAGCGTGAAACCTTGTAGATGCCACGTCGTCGGCACCCAGTCTAGAAATTGGAGCCCGTCCTCGCGATAGCCCAGGGTGCCAGCTGTGGCGCCGCTGACGGACTCTCGCGAGGCTATCTCCCTAAATGTAAAAGCTCGTTGGTGAGATCTGACCGCGATACTCGCCCCTCCGCAAGTACCCGTCGCAGATGTTCTGGAAGGCCGCGCTGCACAGGCGAAAGCTTTCAACCCCATGTTGTAAAGAGCCCGTTCGTGCCGCTCGACCTCTGCGCGCCCAAGATGCGTCTCCTGGAAGGCGAAAGCGTCGTAGCAGCCGTTGCCCCCTGGCTTCTTAGCGACTGATGTCCGTAACAAGTTGTCCGCTTTGGGTCCCCATTGAGAAAAGCTGCCGAAGAAGAGGTGCCTTTGGGGCGTCGCCTCGGCTGCTCGCGAACGCCCCGACTTGCTTTCCGATTATTCCCTGGCGCTGCCCTTGCCCGCCGTTTTTGCGAGCATCTTCTTCTCCAGGATGTATTGTGGCTTCTTCTGTTTGTTAGTGTCCTCTGTCTTGACCTCTGCTGCCGTCGCCGTCGCTGATGGTGCGCTCGTGGCCTCAGGCTTCGGCTCAGCTTGCCCCTCCTCCTTCGCTTCTTGCCCGTTGTCTGCTTTTCTTCTCTTCGCCTTCTGCTTGATATCCTTCCTCTGCTCCTTCGCCCTTTTGTTGGTTTCCTTCACGAGCTTGTCGATGTGGCCCTTGAACGTGCGCGCTTCGGTCTGCATCTTCTGGACGAGGTCTTGCTTTGCCAGGAGGATATCCGTGATGGTTTCTGCGTCCAGGTCGTCATCCGCTGCCAACTCGTCTTCCTTGCCCTTCATGGCAGATTCCGTCAGATTTGAAATGTCACCCCCCATGAGCTGTCCCAATAGTCCCTGTGGCTGGTACGAGCTGGTGTTCTCCTCATGGATATTATGGACCGCTTGCTCCGCTTCAAGCATAGTGTCCGCAGCTTCTTCTGCTTCCGTTCGGAGTCGGTCTCCTTTGGCGATGTGCTGCTCGTAGATCACGTGATTGTG